TCTCTCTCTCTCTCTCTCTCTCTCTCTCTGTTGAAAGAGGCGATGATGCCAGAGCATACCCTACATTCCTGCACTCCTGTTCACATGTCAGATCAAATTTAGCACTTCTTTGTTGAGAGTCTGGCACCTCACTTCCTAACACCATACATCAGGATTGCCTGATCTGCACCTCACTGGACCAACAGTGGGGATGAGAGGGATTGGTCTAATACAAACCGGTGAGAGCACCACAGACTATGGCTTTCTGATTTGACCAAAAGACAAAACTATATAGTTACTTGGCCCTTAGGAGCAGCTCTTAACAATACATTTTTCTAAATCAATATCACCGCATAATGTTAATATAATACAGACCCTCCTACCCAAGAAGCAGCATAGACCTGGGACCTCAGATCCTATTTGTCACTTCTTGACTATGTAGCCTTGAACATAAGATATTTAACCTCTGTGACCTTCAGAATCCTCATTTATACAATGAGGATAGTAATCACTACCTCATAGAAGTGTTGGGAGGATTAACCACTGTACAAGGTCTTGTACTTCGTAATACTCCCTCCAATGAGCCCTGCACTGAGCAAAGGCTTGACATCTGTTTGCTGCCAGACTGATTACGTGGTCATGGACCCCAAGGGCTCTGCATGGGGCCCGAGTACAGTTAGCTTTGTTTGTGTGAAAGGCACTTCTAGTCTGATAATCCCCACTCCTCCTCTGTCCCCTTTCCCTGCCAGCAAGAGTCCTAACCCTTAAGCAGCTAATACTTGAGGATTCAGAGAGAAAGCTATCCCAGTAGTTAGCCAAGTCCAGGTCAGCGGCAGGAGGAACATGGCCGGGCCTCTCACCAAGTCAGCAGAACTCAAGGACATGGACAAGTGTGTGAGCTCCTCCTCTATCTATAAATATATGCACTTGTGCTGACCATCCTCGACTGTCCATCTCACCAGCCTTCCTTCCCTAGAATGCAATTTCCAAGCGTTAGCAAGAGTGTGAGCTATATAGGTAGGTGCCTGGGCCTGGTTGGATCCTTCCTGCCTCCCCCTCCCCGAGGCTTTCTGTGGAGGCCTTAGAATTAGCTGCATCTTTCTCCACATTCACATCCCTGCTGATCTTAAGAGAGCAGGTACCTGCCCTGGCCTTACTCAATATCCATAATTCATTCCTGGCTCACAGCCCTCCACACCACTTTCCTGCCAGACTAATTTAGCTGTCAGTGTGTTTTTTCCTAGCAATATTGGTCCTAAATTTCACCACCATCTCAGCCATTCCCATAAAGCCAGGCTGAGAGGAGGGGATGAAGTATGGAGGAACGAACTATGCTTCAAATTATCTCTTGGACTCTTCCCAAATGATAAATTTAGTTGCCAAATCCTGATTAATCCTTTTTGTCAGTTTTTAAAGTAATAAATAGATTTTCTTGCCTGAGCTACAGACGAAGCAGAGAAAATGGAGATTAGGCACCAGATTTAGCTTTTCACAAGGACTGCAGTTATATGAAGTCTTTGGAAAGATCAAATGATAGAAGGAAATGGAGTACAAATGGGGTTTCACCTTCCAAAGAAGCAAGCTGCCTGAAATGTGTGAGCAGGTGCTCAAAAAAAAGTTAATAGAATGAAAAATACATACATGAATGAATGGAGTTTTTTGGTTATTTATTCCTTCAGTGAACATCACTCAAGCCCAGCTTAGGCTAAGATGGGTTGGCAAACTTTTTCTGTAAAAGGCCAGATAGTAAGTATCTTAGGCTTTGTGGGCCCTATGGTCTCTGTCACATCTACTCATTTCTGCCATTGTAGATAGAGCAAAAGCAGCTATAGACAATATAGAAAGAAATGAGCATGGCTGTGTTCTAGTAAAGCTTCATTTCATTGGAAACTATGCTGGCAAGCTGTAGTTTGCTGACCCTGGGCTAAGGAATCAAAAAGACCTGGGTTCAAATTCCAGTTTTTCCTTTAGCTAGGTGACAAGGCAAGCAGCCATGTCTGTACTCATTCAGTTTCCTCACCTGTGAGACAGGGATAAAAAGCAGTAGTCACCTCATAGAATTGTTGTAATAGTTATATGACAGTGTGTGTGTTAAACAGTATGATGTGTAGCACACAACACGCGCTCAGTAAATCGTTACTGTTATTTTGTTTGTTATTACTGTCACCTGTTTCTTCCACTGGAACATAAGCTCTGTAAGAGCAGGGACCCTGCTCCCCGCAGTCCTCCCAGCGCCTGTGGCAATAGCTGGCACTTGTAAGTGCACAGAACTAGATGGCCGAATGGCTGGGTGGGAGGGAGGGTGAGTAGGTGAGCTAGGCACAGGATATATAGGCTCCCTAGAAGAATATTAAAAGTAAATAAAGCATAGTCTGACTCCAAGGAGCTTGCAGCCTAGTATGGAGGATGGGGACATACTAAACATGATTACAGGTAGGAAAAAGGATAGTAGAAAACAGAAGCCAGGGTCAAAGAATCTAATGAAGGAAGGCGGAGCCAAAGGATCTTCTGGAAGAAACTCTTGAGCTGCCAGTGCTTTCCAGGGTTCAAAACCTTTAATCCTGAAAATATCTGTGGGTTCATCCCCACCCTGTGATATCAGAAAGCATGAGGCCAAAGCCAGTACCTTGGAGAGATGTACATGTTACAGAAAAACTCGGGTTTCCCCTGGCCGTCATTTGGCCTCTCACTCATTCTGCCTTTGGGTAGTCCTGACTCATACCCCCATCCATATAGGACAACACAGGCATTAAAACCAAATGAAGGTGAGGTAAAGCCTCCCAAGGCCAGAAGAAGATAGGCAAAGTTTGCCCCTCCCCGCCCCCCCCCCCAAAAAAAAAGTGGCATAAAGGAGCAAAGTTGTTATCTTAAATCTGGTCTAAAGCTGATTTCTTGTTTGGTTCCAAGAAGGATGTCTTTCTGATGACAAAGAGTTCTCCTGCATTCAGTTAGAATTCCCCTCTCTCTAACCTGATAACTAACTGAACTACCACAGGGGTAGGAAAAGCATCAGGCCCCGAGTCAGGAGGCCTTCCTTGATTCTGTTCACTGTGTCATCTCCGACAAGTCACTCTACTTCTCTGGGCTTCTCCTTCCTCAGCTACAGAATGAAAGAATTAGGCTATTCTGAGGTTCTGAGGTTGTGCAACCCACCCAGCCTGTTCATCAGAGCTGGCTGGGCTGGGTGACCCCAGCAAGCTGATCCTTTGCCTGGCAACACAGTGACCCTGGTGGCAATGTCTCAGGCAACACGATAGCCTTCCTTAGGCCCATGTGTGGCTGGGGAGAATGCGCCAGGGTCTCTTGGAAATAGATCTAAGGATGCTATGAATCACGTGGGATATATTTTCATGACCAACAACACTGAGTCATCGGTTACCTCCTTAAATGGAAAAAACATGAAGCTGGATGGAAGCCACTGTAACAGGAAAGGAAGGGGGGACCCCTAGTGCGACTCTCTCTCTTGAAGCTACCAGTTGATTGTTTCATGACCTCATCTCTTCTTGTCCTCTAAAGACTGTGGTTTGTTTCTTTAGGTTGCTAACTTGCCCTCGCTTCCCCCTGCCCCTCTAGTTGCTGCACCATTGCCTGACAGTTGCCATGGCCTTACCCTTGACCTCCCTGAAACTGTCCTACTTCCAGAAGTCTGAAGAAATCCTTGGAAAGCCTTGTTTCCTTTCCAGGTCACCTGAGACACCTGTCACACACCCATCAATAAGGATGCCTCATAAAGACCATGGTTCTCACTGTGAGGAGGAGCATGTCTCCCTTGGGTGGGGAGAGAGCAGATCAGAAGCTCAGGAGGGGCTTTTTCAAACCCGGGAGCACGGATTCCGATGTGCTCCCCCTCACCACCCCCCCTCGAGGAATGCTGTCCTCACCACCACACTGAGAATCACTGCCCAGGGCCTTGTTGTCCATTTGAAATATCTCCTGCAGTCCAGTACGTGCTGTCCCTGAGTTTTGGACACAGATAAGCAGAGAGGTGTGGGAGGAGTGATCAGTGCGTAAGGGGCAAAAGGTTTGTTTCCACATCCTGCCAAAGCCTGTGGAAGGTAGGAGTTGGCACAGCGAGAGGCAGAGAAGTCCTCTCCCTCTCTCCCACACACCGTGTGGCATTTCACTGTGGGAAGCAGAGTGAAGACAAGCTTGATTCAGTGGTTCCATCTTTATTATTCCTCCGCATGGTTTCTTTTTCCTTCAGTTTTTCTTGGCAACATTGAGGCAGGGTGGGGTTGGTGATGGTGGTTGAGGTGAGAAGGGAAGTTCTTATTAATTTCCAGACTATAATACTCACCTTCCCTTTGGTTTGAGGAGGGGAGTCCATCCTGATGTGGTTAGAAGGATGCTGAAACTTTATATACAAATCACGTGGGGACCTTGTTAAAATGAATCAGTAGGTCTAGGATGGGCCTAATAGTCTCCATTTCTATCAAGCTCCCAGATGATGCTGATATCCGATATGTGGGCCACACTTTGAGTAGCAAGGCCTTAAGAGAGAAGAGGTTTGCTTGCTCCTTTATTTCTGTTTATTAATTACTTGAATCACCAAGCCCAAGGTTCTCAGAGTCACTCTCGTACCTGTCTCCACCCTAGAAGAAGCACTGTCAATGGTCCTCTTTCTTTTGAACATTTTCACATGACCAAGTGATCCTGGAATCCTGTTTCATTCTTCAGCCTTAAAACAGAAGCAGTGGAAACTTCTAGCTGTTCAGGGAGGGCCCAATTTCTTTTTGGTTCAGACTGATGGAATTTAAGGGAATTTTACTACATTTCCATTACTCCCCTAAGGATGCTATGGTTACCCGTGGCTGTCTAAAGAAGTGCCACAAAACGTAGCTTAACTAACAAGCATTTATTATCTCTCAGTTTCTGTGGATCAGGAATCCAGGAGCAGCTGAGCTGGGTGGTTCCGGCTCAGGGTCTCTCACGGGGTTGCAGTCAAGAGGTTGGCCAGAGCTGCGGTCATCTGAAGGCTGGACTGGTGTACTCACATGGCTACTGGCAGAAAGTGTCAGTTTCCTTGCTAGCTGTTGGCAAAAGGCCTGTTACTCACCACGTGGACCTTTCTATAGGGCTTCTTGAGCATCCTCAAGCAGAATGAGATCCAACAGGAGGAAGAGAGAACAAGGAGGCAGATGCAGTGACTTTATGACCTAGTCTCAGATGTCAGACACGATCACTTCTTTTTATTTCTATTTGTTAGAAGTAAGTCACTAAGTCCAACCCATACCTAAAGGGTGGGGAATTAAGCTCTGCCTCTGGAAATGAGTATCAAAGAATTTGCGGACATATTTTTAAACTACCACAGATGTCCCCCTAGCCAAGGAGCCACTGTGGTAGGTGACTCATTGAAGGGTTTGATACCTCTGGCTTTTGCTCTTCTTAGGATACCTGTGAGGTTATGAACATCAGTGACTCTACTCTTTGTAAAGATATTTCAAAATGGAAAGTTAATAATGCCACTCTACTGCGACAAGGTCCACCCAACTGCGTGTGAAATTCCGAAGCAGTTACAGTGCAAGGGCGGCAGTGTAACACGGTGACTAAGAGCCAACCTCAGGAGTCCAACAGCCCTGAATTTGAAGTTGTGTGTCCATGGGAAAATCACTTGAGCCTCAGTTTCTTTATCTTAAAAAGGGGGGGGGGGTGGATAATAACAGTGCCTATCTCAAAGTATAATGTGAGAATTAGATGAAATATTGCATGTAAAGTGCATAATCCCTGGACTAGCAGATAGTAAATGTTCAATACATGTCAGCTACTCGTAGCTGTTGTTCCTGATATCCTGCTTCCACCTGAAGTGACAGCTTTCTGTATTTAAAGAAATGCCAGCTACAAGTTTCTGTGCTGCTTTCACCAGTGCCTCTTCTCATACCTTATTCAAAGTCTGGGAGGTCTGGTTGAACTCTGCCAATAATTGAAGGCTGTTCCACAGATGGACAGAAGCTCTTGACAAACCAAGGCAGAGTTCCTCCTTGGGCTAGTTCCTTCTCCCACTGTTCCGCGTCTTAAGAAGGAACGTCAGCCAGTATCCAAGGAGGCCCAGTCGGCCGCTCTGTCCCAACATAGGTTTCTTTTTTGCACTGAATTGACCAGGACTGGCCCCTTCCAAAGCCCAGCATTGAGGGCAACAATGCTTTTACCAGGAAGCACCTTTTCAGTTTTGAGTTCCAGAAAGAAGCTGACAGATTGTTTTGAATAGAACCTCAAATCGGTTCAGGGCAAAGTATTTAAAGAGTCTTCAGGGAAATGGAAAATGTATTTGTTCGATGGTATGTTTTGGAAACTTTTTTAATGTAGTAAAAGTGTCCTGACAGTTTTGTCTTTAAAGCAATCAAGAAATCCTTTATAATTCACTCTCTGTTTTCTCTCCAGGTATTTAGTCTTCCTACAGATCAAAAGGGATCTCTACCATGGCCGCCTCCTCTGCAAAACATCAGATGCTGCTTTGTTAGCGGCTTATATCCTTCAAGGTAATGACTTTTGACAGGATAAATTTGCTTTTCATGCCAAGTGCTGATTACATTATTTCAGTTACCACAGATGACTACTTCTTGGGTATACATAGATATATCTAACTTGAAGCAGAGTCCAGACTTTGCCTGGACTCCATCAAGCTGACCCCTCAACCCTGCATTGTCCCTGAGCTTTTTCCGCCAGCCCCTTCCCGTCATTCTGACTGTGTTTGGGGGGGTTTTCCCTACACCCTTCGTTGATGAAGTTACTGAGACTGGAGAATAATCTGAGTCCATTTTTTCCTCTCCCCTCATGCAAATCGCAAAAAATGTGAAGCTTCTTGGAATTCTGGTATCTATTTCAGAGCTCTTTCCATTCAGAGTGCTCAAAGTTGAAAATGTTTCCAAGTACCAAACACATTTCCCAACATGCCAATAAGGTAGAGCTGCGTCTGTTCCCAGCTGGTGCCCAGACTGGCTTTTCTTTACAAAAACAGTGCGAAAGGTATGCACTCTTCATATATAATCCATTCTCCTTTCATGACGTGCAGAGGGCTCCTAAGTGCCACTTCCTAGACTTTTCTTAGTCCTTAGACCTGAAACTGTTACTGGATTGTTTTGGGACCAAGCACTAAAATCATGACGTTTCCATCAGAGAATCTGAACTCTTAATCGGAAGTCTGTGAACTCCAGGAAGCTATTTTGTGAAGAGAACCTGGAAAATCCTTGCCAATAAGAAACTACTAGTTCTTCTGGCAAGAGCAATATCACAGCTGCGTTAAGAATGTAAAAGTCAGCCCATAGCAACTTTGAATTCTGAAACTCCTGTTTTTAAAAATCACCTAAACAGGGAGGTGCTTGCCAACTCTAAGGTACCCAAAGATGCCCCTTTCAATTTTAAAGGAAAACCTGGTGCAATCTAAGTGAAATTTTAAACTCTAGTCTTCCCGTCAGTTTACCCTGACAACCATATTGACTTTTTTCTTTTTTTTTTTTTTCTTTAAGGAAGTCATTGAGGTCCAACATCAATGTTTTCCACTTAGAGCTTTCTAAATAAAATCATAATAAACGACTCTGCGGCTCAAGGTCACTTTGGGCTTGAGGCCCAGGGAAGCTTAGTGTCCCTTGCTAAATGATAGAAATTCCCAAGTATTTTGGAAGCACAATATTCAGCTGTGAGAGGAGGGCACATTTTCCCCTTAATATTTACTCCTCTCTCCAGACTTCTCTCTGCATTGGTTGTGGTTCTCACTAGGGAAATAAAAAGAGCAACCACGAAGCAGCTAGAACTTCTTAACATACTTCCTCTTCACGACCTGATGTTCCCTGTGGAGTACTTCATGTGGAGAAAGCTGGCTGTCACCTAGAAACACACTGTGGAGAGCACCTTGGGCCCAAGGTTCACTGATCTGAGATCTTCACAGCTTTAGTTAGGGATGGCCTCTGTCTGTGAATGGCCAGAGAAAGCCCCACCCCCCTGCAGGGAGCTGAGAAGTCAGCCTTAAGACCTGGTGCTGCTGACCTCAATGGCACTTTCTAGTTACACCAGTCTTCCCCCTCTGCTGTCTTCTCCAAGGATCCTAGCTCCTGGTCAGCCCTTAATGAATATTTAATTTATTCACTTGCTTTGCTTTGATTTGATGTAGACTGAGAGTTGAGTTCTGAGTTTGGGTCATGGCTCATTCATCAATTTGCTAAAATCCTCAAAGCAAGATTTCTGATCTGACTCAGGCCCAAGAGGTTCTGTCTTGCTGATCAAGCTCACTGTGTCCTGTGTTGCCAGAAGGCGCATTGCTCCCAGGCCCTCTTCTCATGGCTGAATAGACAAGGGTTGTGTGTAAACCGCTGCTTTTTTATTGCAAATTTACTTGTGGTGCCCTCAGAACACAGGATCAGCTCTGCTGTCTCGCTGCTTAGACCTGGCATCAACACAGTGTGCACACCTGGGAAAACAAAGGTGGGCATACTCCTGAGGGGCACGCCCTCTGCCTGACCCGCAGACATGCTCAAGGTCCGCTGTGCTAAATCTGTGTGTGCTTTGACTTTTGTTCTGTGTGTTAATCTCTTGTTGCTTTGCCAATTTCCACAACTGTTTTCCTCTATTTTCCTTTTGCAAGCGGAGATTGGAGATTATGACCCCGGGAAACACCCTGAAGGCTACAGCTCCAAGTTCCAGTTTTTCCCTAAACATTCAGAGAAGCTGGAAAGGAAAATTGCTGAGATTCATAGGACAGAACTCAGGTGCGTGACACTCAGTTCAGGCCCGGAACACTGTCTGTCCCACAGGCTGAGCACATAAGCTATGTGCTGCGTCCTCTGCTTCTGCAGACCCAACCTCCCTGATTCTGGATGTACCATTTTCAGTGGTCCACTAACAGCACAACGCCAAGCTCTGTGGCCTCACTCTCCAAGGAGATGGGTGTAGGTTAAGACTTACAGACAAGAGAGACACTGTATAGCAAGGACTGGCCTCAAAGATATTTGTTTCACCAAGATAAATGAAGAGACAGAGGGAAAAAGCATGAACTGGGGAAAAGGAAAAGAAAAATATAAAGGACATAACAGAAGAGAAAAAAGATAGGAAGGGGTTGAGTGGGATGTGGAAAATAAGCAAGCCTCTGGCAGCAGTCTGTGACAATGTGACAGGTGGCTTCTGGGCCAGTGGATGGCACTGCACAGGGCTGGCCTGATTCATAAATGCTGTGGGTGCCCTGGAGTACTTGGTTCAGGGGCTATGTCTTTAACACTACCTCTCTCAACCCCACACCCATGCACAGAGGGAAGGAGCTGGAAGCAAGAGGCTTGTCCGCAGATGCTCTTAGTTTGCCCCGAATATGCCTAATTCCACCAAACAGCATTAATGCATCCTTTCACCCATATGAAATAGGATTTTCTACAAAGATTGATTTAAAAAGACAACAATAGGGTGTTTGGGCTCCACCTTGTGTGGCACACTAGAGCAGATTCCCCAAACTGATAAACTATGAAGAAAAAAGTTATACCATGCAGTGTTGTAAAATAAAACATGCTATCATATCAATACATTATAATTTTTTTTAAATCTTTGTGTAACTACCTTTCTGGGCAAGAAAAATGCCCAAGGGGCAGGGGTGTAAAAGATATTTCTAATGATAATATTAAGCCTAAACTAGTTCCTACCCTGCCCCAAATCCCCCCAACACACACACACACACACACACACACACACACAC